TCACGCTGCCTTCCTTTCTCTCCCCTGCCTCTGCCTGCCTGCCGTTGTTCATCATACTTGTGACAGGCCATGGTAACATCACAATGTTTTTCCCCATTCTTTTAGATCAAATTCCTGCCTGTGTCTTCGTGGTGCACCCAGGGTTGAATGGCCCTAAAAGCAGTTCAGGTCCATAGGAAGAAGGAAACTGTAAGGGACCTTCACAGAATCCTCTCTTAGGGTAAAGGTTATAATCTTTATAGATAAAGGTTATAATACAAAACTAGGGGTGAATGTAAGCATTTGATGACTTCAAAGGAGCAGACTGGAAATGTGAATGAAGCTAGAGTTGGGATGCCCCTGTGACCAAAGCCAAATGGGGTTACCTGATTTATGGTTCCCAGGTGAGACTCCCTCTTGCCTGATGCAGCCCCAATGACAGAGAAATGATGGGTGCTCCTGGTGTAGAATCAAATAAATCATAATGTTTTACCCAAACCTTTTTCCCTTAGGTAGTTCAGTCCCTGCTGTGACACTGTGAGTGAATTGTGATTGCATGCTTGGTCCCAAAATCAATTGTATGAGAAGCAGAGGGGGTGGGGAAGGAAGAGACAAAAAACAAGTCAACGTAATTTATTGCAACTTACTGCAATGAACCAGAGTAATTCTTCTTTCTGCCAGTGTGAAAGGGTCCTTGTGGACTTTACAAATGGGAGAAAACTAGTAAAGTGGAAAGAGAGCAGTCTAGAAGTTTGTTCTGGGCTATAACAAAGCACATTGCTGGGTCTGAAAGCCCTAACACAAGGCAAAGAATTTGCTTTACTGGGGGCCTGTGAAACCCACTGCCCCTTGGCAGTGGCCTGGGTTGGTGCCTGGTTAACCAGCACTAAAACAGCTCTAACCCTGGATGCTCAGGAAGGGAAACCGATTGCACCCTCAGCTGCACAGAGGTGTGTTTGCAGCCACTGTAGTTCATCCAGACTGGTTGTGGAAAGCCAGCTGCTAAAACCTAATCCTGTTCTCCGAGGCATGCCTGCTGTGTGGGAAAGCAGTGCTAGAGCTAGCACCCTCACAGGGCTGAGTTAATACCAACATCAACAAGAGAGCATATCTGCAGGCTGAGTGAGCCTTGCGGGTCCTGAGCGCACCTGCTTTGTGTTCCTTTTGCTCATCACCATTAACACTGGACACCTGTGAACATCCTTGTGGGCAGCAGCAGATTGACCTGGTTTCAGCTGGGATAGAATTAATTTTCTTCCCAGCAGCTGGTGTAATGCAGTGTTTGGGCTTGAGTCTGAGAACAGTGCTGATTGGTAACACCGATGTTTCAGGTGTTGCTCAGCAGCACTTACCCTGATCAAGGGCTTTTTGGTCTCATGCTCTGCCAGTGAGGAGTGTCACAAGAGGTCAGGAGGGAGCAGACACAGGACCCCGGACCCAAACTAGCCAAAGGGGTATTCCATATCACAGCACATCATGTCCAGTACAGAAACTGGGAGGGAGTTACCCAGAAAGGACTGATCACTGCTCAGGTAAGGCTGGGTATTGGTCAGTGGGTGGTGAGTAATCGTGTTGTCCATCACTGCTGTTTGTTGGAGTGTTTTTCTTTTTTAATGTTATGTATCTCTTGTTATTTATATTATTATTGTTACTAGTAGGTAGTAGTAGTATTATACTCTAGTTATTAAACTGTTCTTATCTAAACCCATGGGGCTTACATTCCTTTGATTGTCCTCCCCATCCTGCCCTGGGGAAGGAGAGGTATGAGAGAGCAGGCGCGTGGTGCTGAGGTACAGGCGGGGCTTAAATGTGTTGCAAGATTTTGGCCTATTTGCTTCCATTGGGTTGCCTACCAGCAGGGACATCCCCATTTCAAGTTGCCATAGTGCTTCTACTGTGGTCAGAACTGTGAGTCTGTGCCTGGTAGTAACTCTCCGGGCACCTTATCATCCCCACGTCCAGGTTTCTACATCATGGCAGCACACAGGTTCACCTTTTTCACTGCTCCCAGCACAGAGGACTACCAGAGAGCAGCTCTCACACAACACATTGCTTGGTGTGAGGACTGGTGGCTGCAACAGGATAGATGGTGACCACGGCACCTGCAGGAAGTTCCCTACACCTGGTCTTGGTGGACCACCAGAATAACTAGCAACAAACCATGAGTGTGCCTTAACCTGAGAAATGCTTACCTAGGGAAGGAGACTGGCAGCCAGATTAGGGCATGGGAGGAGGCTTCCAGAAACCATGCTTTCTCCTTCCTTCCTTGGCCATCAAAAGGACTCCTCTCTCTTTCTCTTTCAAAAAGAAAAATCTAACTTAGTAAGTCTTATACTTTGAATCCTTGTCCTTTAAGGCTCCTTTCGAAACTTAGTAAATATTCTCCCACAAATCCCTTTTACACACAAAAGTAGCACTTTCACATCATTTCTTATCCAGCTGAATAAACATGTGCAGGCATCTGGAGATGAAGAAAATCCAGCAACAGTTACCTGCCTACCACATCCTGCCATGAAACAACTGAAGGATTTGGAGATTAACAGGCTTACTCAGCAGAACTCTGCAAAGGGAAATCCTGTCTCATTGACTCCTGAGCCTTAGTGGTTGATAGGATTTAAAATGCATCTTTACTATAGCCCTATACATCAGTCAAGCAGCTAAAACCCTCATTTCTACCCTTCCCTTCACTGTACCCTGCTAAGACACCTAGCAATTTGAAACTGCTGTATCTATGCAGTTCTTTGCCTCATCTTGGTAACCAAACTATCAATCACTAATAAGAAGGTACAGGAACCCTTCTTCTAGCTAGTGAAGGTTCCCCTCCTAACACTCCTGGGAAAAAGGTGTCAGAGAGACCCAACCTCCTTAGATGGGCTGGCACTGAAATGATGCCCTTTCAGCCTCAATGAGCTTCTCACCTATAGGAAGAGAGAGAAGTAGCTGGAACTCTTCAGGACCTTCAGGGTTCTCAGCCATGTTCTGTGAAGACAGAACCTGAGGTGTGCTGGCCACAGCTCATGGACAACCAGTGTTTAATCTGCTGTGTGCTTAAGGATACTAACAAACTGGAGACATCATAAAAAGCTGTGTGTTGCATGAGGCAGTAGCACAAAGGCTCCTTTGTGCGTCCAGATCTGATCAGGTTGGACAGGGCTTGGAGCAACCTGCTCTAGTGAAAGGTGTTCCTGCTTGTGGCAGGGGGTTAGAACTGGATGAGCTTTAAGGTCCTTTCCACCCCAAACCATTCTGTGATTCTGTTCCACAGCAGTCAGCTCCAAAAGCAAAGTGTCTACCCTGTCTCATGCAAGAAACATGACTTTCCATGGACACTGATAGATGTGCAAGTCACAGATGGAAAATAATTCTTTAGCACACACACAGCACGGGCCCAAGCTACAACTCTTGCAGGTGATGACAGGAAGTATCAGTCAGAAGTCAGTTCATAGAGGGCTGCAGATTTATCTGGGTATCAGAACTGTGCAGCTTGTCCTCAGTGTGTCATTGTAAAATGCAGCGATTTCTGTGTGCAGAGATGTGATTGGAACTGTGCAGAGCACAAAGGAGATTTGAAGCATTTCTTTTGCCTTTCTGCTTTAAGGCATGGTGAGATTGTTTCATCAGCAAGCAGAGATAAAGGAAAAACTCCCCTTCTTGCTCAGTTGATGTTTGTTTTTTGAGACTGAATAGCGCAGCAATTTGTTGTTTTGGAATGACTGGAGCTGCGAGGAGACCCCAGTTGTTCTGTAGGGATGAAAGAGATGACTAAACATATAAAACCACCCCTGGCCCACAAAGTCCTTAAATGTGGTTACAAGAGGGACGTTGAGATGATGGAGCAGGTCCAGAGAAGGGCAATGAAGCTGGTGAAGGGCCTGGAGTGCAACTGTGATGAGGGACTGGGGGGGGGTTCAGTCTGGAGAAGAGAATGCTCAGGGGGGACCTTATCACTGTCTACAACTGCCTGACAGCAGGATTGGAGCAAGGAGGGGGCTGGGCTCTGCTCCCAGGGAACAAGTGATAGGACAAGAGGAAATGGCCTCAAGCTGCACCAGGGCAGGTTTAGATGGAGCTGAGGAGCAATTCCTTCCCCAGAGGGTGCTCAGGCATTGGAACAGGCTGCCCAGGGCAGGGCTGGAGTCGCTGTCCATTCAAGTGTTCACACACTGTGTAGACAAGGCCCTCAGTGCCATGGGTTAGTGGTGGCCTTGGCAGTGCTAGGGAACAGTTGGACTGGATGAGCTTAAAGGGCTTTTCCAACCTGGTTGATTCTATGATTTTGTGATTCTGAAGAAGTATCACAAGTACACTGTGCTATCATTACCTCGTTATCATCATCCCTAGGCATCTGCTTTTGGGCATGACAAAACCAGGTTATGGCATGAGAGGCACCTTTGATCTGACCTACCCTGGGCTCCATCACCCAAAGGCTGAAGGCAGCTCTTGAGCTTAAATTAACAAACCAGTGGGTTGTCAGAGACGAGATTCCCTTTCCCCTCAATACCTAAGCAGACCCTATTCCCCTGTGAGTGGGCTCATGAGCAATACCAGTCATTATTCAAGCTCATGTGGTATGCGTTGGGCAGGGATGGGTATGCTCCATCCAAGCAGGCCAGATGTGTACAAAGTGTATAGGGAAAGAGGTGCATGACTGCAGCCTGTGGCACACCAGCTCTTGCTCTGAAGACGCCTAAAGCTTTCCCCCATTAAACAGACACCAGTTGGATGTGCAGTGGCAGCATTAGTCTGTATTTTTGCTATTAATAAGTTCTATCAAATCCTCTTTTAAGGTTTTCCAGCCAGTAGCGCTATCAGTCAGCCAGTTCTGGTTCCAGACAGCACTGGGTCCAAATTACTCAGGAAAACAGATTCACCTGTCCAGAGCAACGTACACAGCAATGTGAATAGTGCTCTGCATGTCATCTCGGGCTGTTACACACAGCCTCGGAGAGCTTGTTTTTGTTAAATGAAGATTTCAGATATCTAAAACCAACTGTACGCGCACACAAAAAAACCAGTCCTCATCTGGCAAGGCTCTTTTAATGTTGTACTTTTACCAAACCACAGTACATACTTCAAATAAGGCCTAACAGATTATACTCTATAAATTTACAAACAGTTTATTCTCCTTAAAGAGATCGTATTACTTTTATCAGTCTTGTGTAGTTCAATGAATTATATGTTTATTCAAGCATAACATAGCAAATGTAGCCATAAATCTGTAGACTAAATGTCTATAACAGAGGAATCTCTGATACACTATACTTTCAGATTAGGATTTTTTGTTTTCTTTTGGTTTAATATACACATTTTTGTTTAAATAGGGTAACCATCATATCCTGGTTATACTTCCCATGGGAAAATTGTGCTCAAGAAAGAAACCTATGGACTAGAATAACTGCCAATAGACAAGGTCTTGGTTCACCTGCCACAAAATCAGGCCAGCTTTGTAGGCACAGAACCCTGGGATTGGCTTGCAACCTGGTTAGTAAGGAAGGGACACGAGACTGGTTTCACTTTCCTAAGAGCTAATGGCCCTGGTCCTTTCCCGGGTACAGACCACTCCACAGCAGCAGGAATGAGATGGATAAGAAAGCACAACTGCATTTCTACCTGTAACCAAGAGCCCAGGTTATTGAGAGCTGGCTGGCTGGTGGAGATGTGTTACTCGGATATGGCATACAAACAGAGAGCATTTGAAACAAAAAAGGAGTAAAATGACCTGACTCAGTAGCACTTTTGACAGTCTTACTACTGCTGTGCTTATGAATCTTCTTAATTCTCATTCCTGTCCTAGTCTCTGCTGACCCCTTTTCCTGCTCATGAGGCTATACCCATAGCCCAGCCATTGCTAGCTTGTCAAGCAAAGCTAGGGAAATTGGAGCACTTCACTATACGTGAAAACCCCACCAGCTTGCTGAAGAAACTGTGTCTTGAGGCCCTAACACTGATCAACATCACAGGCCATACAAGGCAGGTGATTCTGAAGAGTTATATGGCACCGGTAGCTTCAATCTGTCTCTCAAAGACTGTGATTTGTATAAGTTCCTGCTTGAGCCCAATATGTCCCTGCCAGAGAACCAATGAGGAAAGAAAAATAAACCCAAACAAAAAGACACTGAGACAAAACCCAAATCCAAACCATGCAAATTATAGCTGAATAGTAAAAAACAAAATCCAAGCCCATACCCCAAGTCCCCGTTGCAACAGAGACAGCTGGTTGCCATCTAAACTGCAGAACCAGCCACTCTGTAGTTCCTAAATAACAAGAGTTTGGCAATAATTACCATGCACAAAGTAAAGGGCACTTATAAAACATTTCCATAAAAATATCTATTTATCTCTATATCTCTATTTATATATGTCAGTAAGAAGCTTCATACTGAGCACATCCCAAGCACTCCATAGCGGGGGGGGGGGGAGGAATCTGTTTAATCCCTATGATATGAAGCGCTATTAGTTAGGGTCGGCATCCACACGTAGGATTAGGTCAGTACTGGTTCAGTTCACTAGGGCCGAAGATACTGTGTGACACCTGCCCAGCCCACTGATGGGTCTTCATCCACTGAAGAGCAGAGCAAAAGATCCTCCTTACCATGAGTGAGAAAGACCACACAAAGGATATTTGTGGAAAGCCAGTACTTTGAAGAGTTAATGGGAATCAAGTGAGCCTTAGCCTTTATTCAAGTGGCTCTGATTCCTTATGTAGTTGGAGCTTCAAAAGATCAGACACAATACAGGAGTTGCAATAGGGCAAGTACAGGATCTCGGGTATTCCAAATACAGCAGCATTTTATTTTCTGTTTCTGAGATGCTGATCCAATGAAAATAAATTCTTTACTAAGTAATGTTGAGAATTTTCTTGGATGTGCCAGTGACTGAAATCTGCAGGAGTGCTGATGTGCTGCCCCTGCTGGGATGGACCTTTAAAACTCCAAAGGCTAAAACCCATTAGAAGCTTTTAGAGCATCATTATCTTTGCATCCTTTCTTTGGAGGCCCTGTATACGTACCACAAAGGCATAAGGGAAAGGGGTGGCTGAGGGTTAATTCTGACATCCTGTGGTCCTAAGGAAAACAGAAGCAGACTTTTGCTAGACATTTATTTTAGTATTGATATCTCTTTGAACCAAGCAAGAGAAGGTGAGTGTGCTTAATGGAACGAGGTGCAGCTGCTTTGTTTGCAGACTCTTTGCCAGATGGTGCTGTGAGCTTGGAACAGATACAAACAAGTTAGTTATAAAATAATGCTGCGGATGGCAGAAACCAAACTTTTCCTTTCATTCACCAAGTACCACAAACAGATAAAACCCAGCTGCAAATGAATAGATGACAGGAATTCAGTGGCATACAACTCTCCCACTACAATAGTCCCATTTTAGGAAGGTGAGAGGCTTCACCTTGGTCAAAGTAGCTAGCATTACTGGGAAAGAGTTTAAAGATGATAGTGGAAGGTGATGAATTTATAAGAGAGATGGAACATTTCTGAAGTAAAGACAGGAAAAAAATGCCAAACTGCCAGCTTCTCTCCGTGCTGGCCTTGGAGAGGTGCATAGTGGTTTGGAAAGAAGGAGATGTTAAATGTGTGCAGAGATCTTACTCCTCTACCAGGAGCTGTGTAACAAAAGGGACTTTACGTTGTGTTTCATGGTGTGCAACCAAGGGAATTTCTCTCTGCTGCCTCGCTCCATTGTAGTAGTTTATGTTTCAGGGGTAAAGGTCTCGTTAGAGCACCTCACACAAACCCCCCTGCAGACAGACCTTGATTTTATAACAGAAATAAATTACAAGTAGCTGCTGATAGTGTGTCCAGTGCTTTATGATGGCAAACCATAGATTTATTTTTAACCATTTACCAATGGAGATCCATACCAAAAAGCAGCACAGAGCTGTTGGGCCAGCTTGTGAATGATTTATTGACTGTGCCAAGGTCAGCATCCTTCAGTGACACACAAACCATAAGCATGAGGATGTGCAGTTTAGAGAATAAGTATCAGTTTACAGGGGGTGGCTGCCTTGTGGTTATTCAGCCAAGTTTATTTATGTTACGTTACCTCCGCATGGGTTTAAAGAAATAATACATAGACTTGGCTGGTTGCTCATTGCTGAACCAAAGCCATGACTAAATGTAGGAGAGCTGTTGAGCTGGAAATCTCGCAGATGAAGCCTACTTCCACCTCACATAACTCATCTGAAGTTATTGCTGCCTGGCTGACTCCAGAGTGCGTTGACTTGTTCCAGTGACTCTTTCAGTCTGTCTTAAACAAGAGCCTGTTGTTAGCCTCCCACCCTGAAAATGGAGTTAGTGGGGGAAAACAAGTGACTGGACAGGATGCTAGATCATCACATCTAGGGTCCCTTTGCCATGAGCGGTTAGACCAGAAGGTCTTTTGAGTTCCCTTCCAACTTGGGCTGTTCTGTGGTTCTGTAAGACTTGGGGAAAAGGGACAACAGACAGGGACAGGCAGCAACACATCTGGGACAGAGCAGCAGATAGGAGAGCCTGGGACTTGTGGGTCTGTGCTCTCACCAGCAGATTAGGGCAGCTTGCTTCAGTTCCGCATCTTCAGCTGTGTTCTTACAACATGTTTTAAAGCATGTGAAAGAAACTCAAACATTTTGACTAAAAAGGCAATGCACATGCACATGGTGATCTGTGACTAGCCGCAGCACGGTACCTGTACCAAATCCCTAATGAGAAGGCAAAAAGACTTTCCTTCAGGTATAATTTTTTGTTCAGTATGCTAAACAGCCCCTCAAATGGCTTCTGCTCTAATGTCATTCCAGTAATTCACTTTTCTTTCTCGTCTGAAAATGTCACCTGCCTTGACATGGGTTTTCAATAAATAAGTCTTCTCAGAGAAGGCCTTTACTAGAATCCAGAGTGCCAGTTGTTTAGTACTACCAGTATAAGTACCTCTATGTTCTAATAATTAATATAGTGACAGTACATCACTGACCCTTGGAGCCAGCAGAATTACTGCTATGAAATCTGAGGAAATAACCATTTGCTATTCCCTATCACCCTGTTACATACTAAGTGAGAACATTAATCTATGGTAAAATGAAGTGAATGCACTTCTGTATTTGTCATTTAATCCAGATGTTTTTCCATTAAGGAAAAAATAGCAGTGGGAGTGTAAATAGGCATTATTGGAAGCTGCTGCATCACAGAAGGAACTGGATGCACTACATTTGTTACTTGCTTCTACGTGTATTTGCAGACTGTATCTTACCTCTTTTTCACAGAAGCAGCTCTAGTTGTGCTTTGCACCATGTGGAATAATTGCTTAACTTTTCTCTTAAGATGTTTTAAGAACAGAAAACTGGTCACAAGTCTCTGTGAAAGAGCCTGTTGGTATCAAACTGCTTTTTTACGTTAAGTCATTTGAAAAAAACCCTCCATTTGTGATGAAGCCATGGATTGGCCACTTTTCTTCCCCTACCATAATCAGGGGTTTGATTGTTCTTCAAGAAGTGTGCTTATATGTGAAAGTCAGAGTTAAATAGGGTGTTGAAAGAACTGTGTTACGGATTGTTGAGTAAATGCTTTTCAGTAACCAGGTCCAAGCCTGCTCTCGTTTGGGGCGCTGTATGTGCTTACTACTGTAGGGCAAGGTTTAAGTTCATCTCCAAAATTGATTCTTGATTTCAAGAGTGAGTGCTTCTGGCAGCACTGCAGACTCATGGGTTTGAAGCAAGTTTGGCATCTTACCCACCCACACTGGCAGTAATTACCCAGGAGCTCTAGACATTGTATCTTGAATAGCCTCAGGTTTCAGAGGTGTGCATGGACACACACTTCTAGCTGCAGTTAGACACACTGGGTGACAGCAAGAAGCAAAGACTCTTCTCTGTGTCCCAGTGTACAAATATCAGAAGTGCTTTAAACTTGAACCTTCACTCCCATCTCTTTATTCTACAGCTTTCCTATATAAATAAAAAATATCCCTGCAGAAAGCATGACTCTCTTAGGGGTTACAACCGTCAGTACAAATGAATGGTCAAAACATGGCTACAAGGCATCACAACAGGACTTCTGCCACTATTATATTCCACAAAGGAAGTTAAGGTCTTGGACAGTGCTTTGAGTCGGTGGTTAAGGCAACTCACACTGCATTCAGAGCAACAGACTGGTACAAGCACAGTCACAGACTCAGCTGGTTTTGCACTGATGCTTCTTTGCCTAGATTTCACATTCTCCCATTCAAGTGCACTTAACATAGTTCTTTTATAAAATGCTTCACATCATAAAAACTTTTTTAAAGCCTGATAAGGTAGTTTATTAAAAAGAACAGACACAAGTCTGTTGAGCTGACATACATTTTTCTTAACAACTTCAATAAAAGGCTCACATTCATAAAAGAAAGGAGAGAGCTATGGTAGGAAAAGAAGGCAAACCACCCACACTCAGCCATTTGTAGTGTCCACCTCTTGTGAAGCTGGCAATGCCACAGAGCCTGCAATAGCAAAAATGATGGCAGACCGCTTACTGCTATCTGCAAAGTGACAAGAAAGGGGAAAACATCAGCAAGGCAGTCACTCCATTTCTACCAAATCCCTACCCTCAGCCCACCTCAACAAGAATAGATTTACACCGCCTGAGATTCTCCTCTGTAACAGGTAATCAGGGGCTGCCTAATGCAGGAGGAACATACTTTCATTTCAGTGAATCTTCCCTGATTTTAGCACCCTATCTTCCTGTGCACAAATGCATTTTGAAGTCCCTTTTTTCATGTACTGTGGGAGTCTTGTCTTAAGAGGACTTTCCAGCTTCTGTCTTTTCCAAATTGATTGCCTGGTACTAGGAGGAAAACATATAGACAATGATCAGAATATATAAAACACAAGGAAACAGCTGTCAGAGGAATGAAAACTGCTTTGAATTTCCTTTTTTCTTGTTTAAAATTTACCAATCTGGTTTCTAACAGAACTTTAGTTGAAAGGAAAGACATTCATAGAAGGTATCAGGCATACATATGTGTTGTCCTTTCATTCTACTTTACATGCTGTTGCTTTTAGAAGGCAAGGTTTCTGTTTAGTTTCTCTAGGATGGATAATGAAATCTGATTAACAGAGTTTAGGTTCTCCTTTTCAGAAAGGACACCCTTTTCAGCATCACCATGCTTGATGAAATGGAAAATTGTTCATATGAAAAGCTCTTGCTTGTCAAGCTGAGATAGCTCCACACTGCAGCAGCTACCCTGGAAATTAGATGCATCTGCCATAAAAGGACACTGTTTTAATTAAAATGTAATTATTTACTAGTCTCTTGAGCTGAATTCTTATCACTACAACAAACTTGTACGTGTACACCAGTGCTTTGACAGTCTGAATGAAATATTTATGATGACCATCCTTGCACATACATCAGGCTACCTAGAGCATGATATTAAAATGCTGCCATACCTTTGAAGTGGTAACTGCTAGAGGAGATATAAAAGGTATACATAATGCGTAAGAAGGGAAAAAGACAAAGTAGAAATACTCCAGTACCAATTAAAGATAAATATTCCTATGTAACGCATCTGAATTTCCTATCAGTGAATCTGGAATAAGCAGAGTGTGAAAGACCTGATTCAAAACTGCCACACTGGACTGCAGCTTTGCTCTTGAGGCTGGGCTGACATCAAAATCAGCTTTCCATCATTTTGGCTCTTTGCTGCTCCGTGGTCTGTATGTGTTGTGAATGAGGATCCAAAATGTTGCTGACATTATTTAACTAACACTGAGTGTCCGAGCCTCCAGCCCAGCCTTGCTCTCCCCACCACTGGTACCCATTAATTCTTGTGGAATCAGGAATGAGCCTTTTAGAAACACAACTGGGACACCTTGGTTTCCCAACCGGTACAGCAGCTACATTTTCCTGCACCATTCAAATCAGTGAAGCAGCTAAAAAGAGGTGATAAAAGGCTGATTATTCTGATGTTCTTACTGAGTTTTATACAAGCAGGATTTACTCTCCCCTCCAACGTATTTCCCCACTACAAGCATATGGATAGTACTTGCTAAATGACATGCATTTCTGGCACAAGTAAGAGTGGGTGAAGTAAACTACAGATGTTGTTTCAGCCTTCAGTAACAGACTTGCAGAGGAAGAAATCTTCAGCACAGACGTAGTGCTAGCAAAATACACACACTACTTGGAGCCTGCTCCTGCTTCATCGAGCTAGGCTGCTGAATGACCACTGCCTGTCATTAAACATGTGTCATTCTCAACAATGAAATACAGACAGGCAGGAATTCACCTACAGTCACCAAATGCCTATACAGAGACCAGCTGCTAGTCTACAATATCACGACTAAGGTCCAGTTTAAGAAGAAACAATCATTTTAATAACAAAAAGAATTTGTAGAGTTATTAAAGTGTATCATGAAAATAATGGCAACAAGATTATCAACATTTTAACGTAGCACTGATGAACTTCACATGAAGAGGCCCATGGTGTCCAGTCAATGGAGAGATGCAGATGCTTGCATGCTTGATTTCAGAAATCACCTGGCTTTCAGATTTAAGACACTAATTTACAGCTATTGCTTGTGCAATGGTCAAATGTTATTGTCCAGAAATTCTTGATTCCAAGGGTTGTGGGAGATCAGCTGGTAATCCTTTAGAAAACCAGTAAATAGATGTGTGACTCCTCACTACCATAACCCAGACAAGTGTCCCTGCCTTCACTGAGGACCTGGTTAGGCACAGAGACTGAGCTAGGGCTATGCTGAGGCATTTGGCAACTTTGCATGGTGGCTGTTAAGCCTGTCTCTCCTGCATGAAGCAGCAGAGAACTCTGGTCTCTCAGGACACATAAATCTGATCCTCCTCCCACACATTAAGTCGAGAGTAGTAAGTAACTTTGTGCTGCAAACCAAATCCCAATCTATGCAAACAATGGTATATTCACTTCTCTTTGTAACCTGCAAGTTAAAAGCAAGGATGTTTTTCAGAGTGGACTAAAATACCATTAAAATAAACATAAAATACTACAGAAAAGAGAATGCCTTTTCAATCCTACAAAGACATCTGTGATTGTTCTGTATTTTGTTGGGTAGTTAGTGGTGCAGGCTAGATCCATCCCATGCTGATAACTCTCCAAGGGTGGAGACTAATCTTGCACCCACGATTAAACAAGAATGAGGACTCATCTGCTCGATTAAACCTCTCCCTAGACGTTAATACTGGAGGCAAGGCAAAAGACTGAAGAGCACAAGAGTGACAGAGGTGATTTTTGTGCCTACCCGACCCCCTCTGCCATATAAGGTTACCTGAGAAACAGTAATTATTTTTGAAACTGGCAACTTTTTTTGCATGCTAACTCCAAATCCATAAAGAGAATAAATCAATGGGCTTGATTTGCTCTGATATGTGTGTTCAGTGAACCCAGAAGAGGACTTTAGGCTACTGTCCTTAATACCTTTAACATACACCTTAATATCTGGCCTTGTCTGTCTGATAAATTGTGCTTATAAATTTACTGTCTGTAAGACTCCAGTATTTTCTTCTCCCTCCACGATTTTTCTTCTTGTTCATTTTAATGCACCAACTAGAATAATGAAAGATACAACCAAAAAAGATGATAAGGAAATTTCAGATGCCAGCACTGCTTAGCCTAGTAGATTGCAGATCTGGGTGAGAAATAAATCCTTCTTGTACAGAAAAATGGATTAAATCAGTGCATACAAAACCCAGCAATATTAAAGCAACTCTGAGACTGTCATGAGCATAAATACCTTTAAAGGGAAAGTCCTGGTGTTGTTTCTGTTCTTTCAGCACACACCAAATGCCCCACAATACATTCATTCCTTCATTCTGTTCCACTGCAAAAACCTGCCCATTAAGGCCTTAAATTCCTGTCAAATCAGACCACTGGAGAACCACGCTCCGCTACAAGAGGACAAGCTAAAACTATGTTATTGCCATCAAACGATTTAGGTCTTCAGGCTGCCTCTTTGCCTTTCCTACACTGCTTCTCAAGTCACACCTACAACTTCACCAGTCTGACAGGGAACACGGGGTGCGATGCTGCACTTAGCATTGGCCTTGCTGTTCTTAAAAAGGCCTTTCAGCAAAACAGTTCAGGTAAATCTCTGCGTTGAAAAGAAACTCTCCACTGTGTCCTGTGTGTTCCTCACATGCTCTCTGGTTTCCAAGCCTCCTTTGCCTCACCTTCCTGCCTGCGTGAACACTGCCAGCAGAGGCTTTCCTTGCAAAGGGACTGAAACAAAGGGTTTAAAGAATAAACTGCTCTGTAGAGCTGGAAAAAAGTATTATGTGAAGGCCATGGGTTCAAATGCATTGACTAGAGCTGTACTAATATTTCTTCAACAGCCTATAAAAAAAGAAACAGAAACAAACAAAGTCTGGCTCTAATTCCCTACTACAATGCTTACGCCTAAGTACTGTATATGCCAATATGCCACAGGCAGAGCCGAGTTTTAACTGGCATGTGTCGCAGGTCAACAGTGCCATAGCCAAAGATACAGGAACAGACTCACACAGCATCAACCTCCCTTAGAGACCAACAAAATAATAACAACAATAATAATACAACCCCCCCACCCCCCCCACCCCACAGCTTCCTGTGCTTTGTGATCATTCTCTCTGGTGGTAGTATTAGCAGTTGTAGTAACACTACTTTTACATTGCTGATGAGAATTGTATGCAATCAACAAAGTGCCTGGGTCAGGAAGATGGATCCTGTCAGGGCTGATGATACATTGAGAAACTGGTGAGTTAGGTCTGCATTAATCTTCACCCCCTGCTTTACCCCCAGCCCTGAGCCCTCCCTTCAACACCACCAAAATGAATGGTGACATGGTCAAGGTGCAGGGCTGGGGGCAGCCTGTGGGGAGGTGGAAGTGCTCATGAAGGAACACAACAGTGGGAAGAAAGGTCTGGCACATGTTCTCAGGACAGGACTACCCATGATTGAAACAGCTTTTAAAACATGTAAGAAACCAGCCCCGTTGCTCACTGCGGGTATCCAGAACACTTCTAAACACACAGAGAAACAGACAGGTATTACTCAAAACTGAAACCAATGCTGACGCTGCAAAACTGCTCTTTGTTGTAGTTGTTTGATACGGAAGGGGCAATTCGCTGTTAATAAATATGGAAAAGTGTTTTTTTCTTAAATGCTTGAGATATTCTTGTTTTTTCCTCCAGTCTCAGTGAGGCTTTCCTGTCACTTGCTCCTCCAGTTGTGCTGATCTTTTTACCGTACGTGTGCTCAAGCGTCTGACGCACAGTGTTCTCTCCCCACTGTAAAAGTCATCCCAGTCCCACCCTGGCCCAGCTTGTATCCCACCCCAGGCCCCGTCCCCCTGCGCTTAGATAAGCCATTCCTTCTTGCTCTCGTCGATGGTCTCTGTGAAGTTGGGGTCATTGTTCATGATGGCAGCATCGGCGCTCTCAGCTGACTCTGCCCCTTTGGCCTCGTTGGTGTGGTAGGTTCCCTTGTGGCGGAACATGTAGCGGATCAGGAACACCAAGGTGCAGAGGATGGTGAAGATCACCACTGCGATGACACCTACACAGAGGAGGAAAGAAAAGATGTCACTTGCGAGAACACCGACAGGGTTTGGCACAAAGAAAGGATCCCACAGCTCCCCCAAGCTGAGCTGAAGCTACCCAGGCACTTAAACAGCACCACAGCTGCTTGCTTTCCACTACTCTAATATTGATATATAGTTCTTGCTATGTACAAAATGTCACTGGAAGGAGTGTGCTAGTGACTTTCCCTTCAAAACATTAATTCCAACTTCAACATGAATACCTTCTAACAATGGTGAGCTTTGTTGACCATGAGGAAGAGTGTGCCAAGCGCTCCCAGAACATAGGGGTGAAATTGTGACATGTCAAGGCCTGGGCAGCTCTGAGGATGGAGTCACTGAGGTACCCTTTCCAGTCAATGGCCATGTAGATCATCTATCATAGCTCCTCAACATGTCCTTGGAAATTGGCTTGACTCACTGTTGGCTCACTCCACCCACTAGGCACTGGCTCCACATAATTACAGATGTAACTGCTTTATCATCAGACTTATCCTTAATTGCTCCTTCTGCTATGATCTATTAGGGATTCAGCCCTGTTATGGAGAAGTCTCATGTATCTTACCCTCTTATGCATAGGTAACTGTGGTAAAACAGCACTGGGTCTTTTTTTGCTCCTTCTCTACAGGCATGAAGGTATTCCAGGATGAAGACATTATACAATTTCATGTTAAAAACCATCCTGTTATCAGCCAGAATTCTGTTATGTCACTTTTGTTAAATGATGAGAGGCACAGCCAGGCTGTTGAGGTGGGGCCTGAATTCTTCTGAGGAATGCAATGCCTGGGCAGCAAATCAAAACTACAGCAACTAATCTGAACCTGGATATGGAAACAGGCCCTTGAAGGGGCCATGGAAAAGAAGCAAGAAATTCCATTAGACTGCATTTACTACTGTACTCAGTGTTGCTTTACATGACAAAACCCATCACCAGTATGGCATTTTATATGCATTTAGAACTGACTGAAAACTACTGGGCTGATCTTTACAATTATTTTTTAATATGCCTTCAGAATTAGATGCAGTGGCAAAGTTCTCCCAGGAGAGCTACGGAGCAACACTTCCATCCGATGGGACAGGGCAGAGAAAACTGCATGTGTGTATGGAATTAAGCAGGATCCACATTTCAGGAGGCAGCTGGCCAGAGTATCTTCAGTGGAATGTTAATTCAAGGTTCCAGTTCTGGTATTGCTTAACATCATCTATCACACTGAATGGGACTCTACAGCACCTAAGTTATAGCAGAACTCGACCCCTAGAACACAAGGCAGGATTTTTGTCAAGGGTGCAGCAAATAGTGTTTGACACAGATTCGTGTTGAATCTGCTGTAACTGGAAAGTGTTTTTGCCATTTCACATGAATTGACTACTCAGTTAACAGAAGTAATGACTAAAGAGTAGCTCCCCACATAGGTACGTGGATTATGAATATCAATACTTTGATTTGGTTAAAACTGAACCTGGGGGCACAAACTAAATGAGAACAAGGCATTTCACTAGGACAGTGTGCCTGAATGGACTTAAAGTTTCTACTTAATGTTGTTGAGGTGTAGTTTTCCCACTCTTGAACATGTTACCAACTGCAGCTCAGCTCTCACAGTCATACTGCAAAGTATCTCAGAAAAGTATATAGGTTTCCTACCTCCAATAATGGCAGAGTTCCTGTTAACTCCATCTCCTATAGCTTGACCGTTGTATGGGAAATCAGCGCTGGCTGTAAATAGGGAATTAAAGATTCAGGTTGTAATAGCAGTGAAACTTCACACAGTAGTTCAGAAATACATCCAACATCCCCAGACATGATTTAAATAAAACTGTAATCCTGAGATCTTTATCCAAAGAAGAAGAAAATAAAAAATCCTTTCCCTGTTCTCTAATCTCTCCGAACTTCTTGCTTCTTCCTCTTAGCAAAAATAAAATTACTATAAAGGAGGGCTCTCAGTAAGCATTGCTGTTAATGTAGGAGGTCATGTTGTTTCTCTGCTAACACAAATTCAGTCAGCTTCTTTCGCATGAAACCAAGCAAACCCCTTTCTTTCAAAAGCACGTGATCATACATATTGTTACAGAAATTTCTGCCTTTGTAACTGGCCATGCTATCCATGGAAGACTTCAGACGCTTCCAGGATTTTGTGACCACCACTGCATACAACTGCAAACTCTTAGAAAGAAAAACTGCCATCCCTTTTGCTGCTGCACAGCCCAAAGCAAGCGAGGAACTGCTCTGCTGTTGGTCAGAGCCATACAGCAGTTACCCAAAGGAGTACATGACAGCATCTTTGCTACTCTAGGAGAAAGCCCAGTGTGTCAGCTCTGCCAGTGCTGGAGCTGAGACATAGCAGACAGGGGAGCCCTCAGGAGAGGAGAGCCTCCATCAGACAGAGGAGGAGAAGAAATGGTGCTCATCTACCTAGAAAGGAGAAACTCCTTGCAGCAGAGCTGGATGAAGGAATCAGTACAGGTTTGATGTAGAATTTGGACTGTAGTCTTGGCTTTAACCTCCAGAAAACATCAGAGAGACTTCAAAGGCAATCTCATCAATTAAACCTATCATCAGCATTTTCTTTATAATCAGACATAGCAACTAGTCACTGTGGTGATTAAGGAAGCCTGGGGACCTAAGTGAGTGGTTGCAGCCATTCTCTTCTTTGCCACTGGACTATGGCATTGATTTTGAGAGAGAGAAAATGTTGTTAAATGTACTTAAACTGGGGACAGTTAAATAACCAAGAATATGAATTACTTCTTAGGTCAGTAGTTAAAACCCAGCTGTGTTTTCCTTACCTGATGGATTAGGTGATATTATATTAATAAGCTGCCTTTACAGGCCAGCAGTGCATTCACTATACACCAAAACCGGCTAAGGGAACTCAACTGGCCTTCTGTTAGCATGGAGTAAAATCCATATAAGGTTCCTTTTGTATCACAAAGCAGCTGCACAAAAGAATGAATGGCTTCAGCTCGCCACGTGGCCTAAAAAGAGGTTTGGGGTTAGAGTAGCCTCCTGTGTGCCTACTATGGAGGAGAGTCAAACCAGCTGTGTGTTGAGCAGCTAGCTCTTGGCTGGTGGCCTGTGGCACAAACAAGAGAGCATTTCTCAGGGCTCAGTGCAGGAGGCCTGGCCAGCAGCTTTTGCCAGCAGCACTTGGGCCTTTGACGTTTGTTGGTGCTCTGGCTTCTGAAAACAGCATTTCTGCACCTCTCTGAAGGAAACCAGGCTCAGAAATGTGAAATAAATACCTGATTCTGCATCAGCGAGTTTTGCTCCAAAGAAGAACCTTAATGTGCAGGACCATGAATGTTTCCTACAGAGACATTTTGGCACAGGGCCCATAATGTTATCCTTGCAGGACAAGTGGTGGGAAAATAAACCCTATCTTTAAACCTGCCTTCCCTCAGGGAAAATTCTAAAGCCAAATTACACTATGTAGAAAAGCATCAATTTGCCAAATTGCAAGGAATTGCTCTCTGCCATTCTAACACAAAAAGGTGCCCCTTGCCATAGGAGCAGAGCCATATAAGTGGTTAACGTAAGTGGTTAACAAGTTCTATCACTTGCCACTTGGTTTGGCACTGTTTTCCTGTGTCCCCACACAAGAAAGCTTAAAATCATCAATGGTCACAGTTCTGCCTTCCCGTTAACTGAAAGTATCTTTTATCTTGTTTTGAAAGGTTATTTGGAGGACTATGGCACTAGTGAAGTGTGAAGAAAGAGGAAAGCTGCTGTTCATGGCAGTGTGATCCCCTCCAAGCTGCCACATCACAACGGCCATGCTACAAGGGATTCCTGGCAGATGGAAGACCACAGCTTGTGATGTTCAGCAGCCACTGAGGTACACCATAGGATAATGAAAAACATGAAGCATGGTGTGCAGCTACGTCCTTGATCTTGTCTGAGAGCTGCTGCTAGGACTGGACCCGATGCCTCCATCCAGAGCTGTTTTCCATTGCATCTAGTCATCAGACACACTTAGATGTCCATTGGATCAATAAGCAGATGTGATCCACTCTGAGACTCTCATCTCTGACAAAAAGGAAACAGGAATACGTGTTTGGGGGCAGATGCACTTTTGTATTGTGGGGTTTGGGGGTTTTTTGACTGAAAAACTGTACCTAAAATCTCAGCCAAATAGCCTTTGCTGTAGAAGTGTCTATACCAGGTTTTTACTGAATGTATTACTACAGATAGAGAGAGGAGGAAGAAAAGAGCCCATTGATTTCTTTTTCAGGTGGAAGTTCCCTTGAAATTCTCCTTGCCAGCAGTAGCTTCTCAAATGATCAGAAGTAGCTACAGATCAGGAGTCTCAAGAACCACAAAAGATTAACTCCTGCCACAGCAATTAGGCAAAGGAGAATGTATGAGGACACATTCCTTGATCCTCCAAGGTAAGCTTAACAAGAGCATACTGTCACCCACAGGCACCAACTGCAGGCATTTTGTATAGCAGTTACATATGTACCATGCTGTGGTCATATTCCTTGGCAATATTAAGCAACTTTGTCAAGAAGACAACTAATGAGATTCTTTCTTCCATCGGTGCTGAAATTTGGGAACTAAACAAGGAAAGAACATGTCAGAGCAGGCTGACAAAAGGGGCAATACTAATACTGACGCTCTGGTAGAAGCATAGAAGATGATAGTGTTGTTCACAGGTTGTAAAGAGTAAATCCTAAAATGACTGGCTAGATAAAATGAATATTTTATTAGCAACTCTCATGTGTCAAGGGAATCTAAGTCACAGTGGTATAATAACCAACTCTGATGGCTATAATATGCAGATGAAGTATAGGATGAGCACGTGTGTGCTTTCAATTCTCTGTCACAGCTGGGAACACCTCTTTCCTGTTCACATTCTTCCATTATCACTGTGACATTACTTAGCAAGCCCTCTTGCACTGCTACTTGTACCTCGACAGCTCCAAATCATAACTTGCCCACAGTAAATAGGTGCCATGGAGCCGCAGTTACCCTATGCAGTTACCCTGCAAACCCCCTCTGCATTGTCAATGTAACATAAGGTGGGTGTGGGGAGGATACTGCAGGAGTTTTGGCCTACATACTGTACTGTCTAATTGTTAGTTGAAGCCACAAATAGTGCTATTCAGTCTTCCTTTATTACCTGGGTCAAGAAGGTTGCTTTTAAACAGCTAATTCCCGTCTGGTTCGGGAACAGTACTGGAAAGGCTTCCTTACTTTAAGACCTTTTTCTGAATCTTCCCTAGGTTTCTCTGGCCAGACAGGGTCTTACTTGTGTGAATCAAAATGTGAAGCACAAAGAGCTTTATAATCTATCCTAGAAAACAGCTACATATTGGCCCAAGAGACATGCTGCCAGTGCCCTGAAATCCTCTGCTCATGCAGCTGTGGCACAGAGCTGTCAGTCTGCAGTCAGGACACACAAAAGGCATTTTCCTAAAACCTACAGCTAGCACAGGGACAGAATGAACTGTACCAGGAAATGCTAAGCTCATCTGTGGCTTATGAACACCACTCATCTGCTTCCCTTCCACAATCCAAGCTGGGCAATGCTGTTCTTTGCACTCAGTCTATCCACAGCAGGCCATAGGGTTTGCTTTAAGGACCATCATCCTAAAGACAACACACATAAAAGAGATATGCATGCTTTGCTTTCTTTTTCATGTGCTCCTGTTTATGAGGCCATACTTCCAGTAACTACAGAGTAAGTCTACAGAGTCTGAACTTGTGTTTTGCCTTTTTCAACTTTCTGTTATTAGTCTTGGGATAAATGGGGTTAAAGAAACTTTGTAGCACCTAAGAGGATAATGAAAGACTGACTGCAGGAAAAATCCATGCTTTGGCCACTGTTTTAATGACATCTGAAATTTCATATGACCACAAAAATGTGGAAGGAGACGCACCATCACCCGGCACGCTCAGCATGGTCACTGCCACAGCAAGCTGCAATACAGCAGCTCTCACTGAATGGAAAGGGGAGATGGGGCTGGATAAACAGCCTATAATTAGGATTAGGTGTTAAAGATGACAGATGTGGTTGATTTAATAGAGTGAATGATAATTTTGCTTCATTAGAGTAGGCGTGATTCGGCATCTGCCATTTTCAGAGGGAGAATTTTTACAATGGATCCCGCATAAAAGCCTTTTGCAAATTCACAAAATTGAAATGCAAACCAACCCTGTTAAAGTAGAAAAGTGGCCCAGAATGTGGGTGTGGGCAGAGAAATGAGCAAAAGGCTATTCAGTAAACCCAAGGGGCAACCCAAACCCAAACCCAAGCAGGGAGCCTTCTCAGCTAGAGAGATCTCGGAAGCAATTTTAAACTGAACCTTTTCACTGAGTGGGCAAGTCTTAGGTCAAATACACTGCACTACAAAGGAAGATACCATTCAGATTTGCTCTAAAAAAGATAGGGTGGGAGCGCTCACAGTACTAAACCAAACAGTGGATGAAACCCATGAAGTGCTGGAAATTGAGTTTGTTCAACCTCAAATAACATGTTGCAAGGCTGCTGTGACCTTAAGCCTTTACAGATGTCCACAGTTTTGACAGGTATTCTCCTGCTACTAAGACCAGCTGGGTTTTCACATAAATACGAACTAAAGAAGCAACTGGAAGAACTGGATCTGGTGATCACAAGGTACATAAAATAGCCAGCAATCAAGACGTTGATTAAAAGCAGAACAGTGAAAGAACAAAGTAAAAGCAAAGATGTGAGCTGTATCTCCTTCCTAATT